GAAATGGACCACTTCGCATTATCAAAGGCCAGATAAAAAGTAGTAGCATCTTTTGCTCCTGCTTAAATGTAAAATCACTAGCCTCCGAACTAAACGGGAATAAATCATCTTTCCTTTACAAGACACTGGAGCATCAGAATTTATTTATATGGACAGTAAGGAATGCATATGAAACCTACATACAGACGTCCAGCGAATTCTACAGTAGCCAAGAGCTCGGCACCTTCCCTATTATCCTCTAAGCTAGGACGGTTCCAGGGAATACTTGTGTCAGTATGACTCTGAAGCCACATACAACCTTTGCCAGACTGCTGCCACTAACTCAGTGACGATTGAAAGCAGAATGACTGATCAAATGCAAATTTACTTCAACATCTACTCCCGTGGAATAGTTATGGTTCTAACCAACCGAGCTTATGGCAATCAGAGTGAGGGTTTAATGGCCTTGTGAGAACAAGCAGGATGCAGACACTCAGGGATCAAACTCCTCAAGCTGAGGATCCTGCATCCACAGGAGGCAGCCCTAAAATTACCAACGCTTCAGCAGCCATCCTGGATCCTGCCAGTAACTGCCAAGTCAAACAGGCTTCAGGTACAAAACGAGTGTTCATCTGTTTAAAAAAAAAAGGAAAAAAAGGCTCAAGGCAACAGATATTAGGCCACAACAGTTTGCTTCAACCAACAAATTTCCTAGCAGCTCTGGCTTCTCTCCTTACTCCATGTCAAGTAATCTGGAGATCAAACTATTGCTATCCACCCAGCAGGGGACCTGCCCATTAGCTTGGTTGCTTAACGCAAAAGTCAGGCTTAAGATTCTGTGGGGTCCCCACATCCTCATGCCTTATCAGACCTGCCCTTAAGGTATCCTGAGCTGGCAAAAGAAAAAGAAAAAAATCCTGCTATCCACCCAGCAGTTCCCGGACTGATGTGGGAGTACCCGTCCAGTAACTAGTTCTCAATTCTACATGCCAACGCTTTGGGACATCAGTTCCCATGTGGTGCACTCCCTCAACGCCACAGTATTCAGACCCCATCTGCAGCCAGCCTTCCTTCCAGCTGCTAACCATGGTCAGCCCTCCACCGATCCCCTGCCTGCCAGGGACTGAAGCACTCTCCAAGGTGCTAGCCCTTCACTTCCTGGGGAACTTGCTGCTATTAAGAAGCCAAGGAACATAGCCTGTGTCCTGCGGTCTTTGTAACATGCTAAGCTTGATTCAATGAAAATGGTGGCAAGCATAGAACTGCCACAGAAAGCGATGCCCAGTGAGAACAGAAAGTAAAAACCTGATGGTGTATTATATAACACTACTGAGAAAAAATAACTATTAAAATAGGATTTACAGGGCTGGTCTCAATAGCTCAGTGGACTAAAGTGCCTGCTTAGGCAAAGTGCATTGGACAGGGTTCAAACCCTGGTGTGCTGCACCAGACCTGCTAGCCTGGCACGCTGAGACAGTAATTAAGACTGGGTGTGGTGGCACACACCTGTAATCCCAGCGCTTGGGAGGCTGAAAACAGGAGGATCACTATGAGTCTGATCTACGTACGGAGACCCTGTACACTGTCCTAAATACAGAAAGAAAAAATAAGTAAGACTTAACGTTTTTCTTTTTTTTGTACTGGGGATCAAACCCAAGACTTGCACCTGCCAGGCAGGTGCTTATATTGCTGAGATACATCCCCGGCCCTAAAATTTTAAAAATTCTATCACAATAATCTAATATCCACACACAGCAGAGCTGAATGCCATCACGATTTCAAAACAAAGATAACACAAATTTTTCTAAAGGATGTTGCAAAACCATAGTGTAAATCATTAGTAATATTTAAAAATATGTAAGAATTTAAATATTCAATGTTGTAAAGCTCTATTAATTAACATTAGACAGCCATCTCTCAATTTCTTAGCTTCCAAAAGAGGGAAAAGATTCTAGTTTACACTGATATTAAAAAAATAAAGGACCCAGCATTTCACTTCTGGGTGTTCTGAAAAGGTTTGAAATTCGTATGTTAAGAGGTACCTTCATGCCTATATTCCTGGTAGCGCTATCCCAACGGCAAGTGACGGAACCAACCTAAGTGTCCACTAGTGGACAGGAAAAACTTGGCAGATACAATATGTAATACCTTAAAAAGAATGTCATTGTTTCCACCTGGATGGAACTGGAGGGCATTACATTAGTGAAATAAGCAAAATGCAAAAAGACAACTACCAGGCTAGGGATAAAGCTCAGTGGCATAGCACCAACCTGGCAAGCAGGAGGTTCTGGAAAAAAAAAAAAAGATAAAATATCTTATGTTTGCAGTTCTGCTATGACTGAAAGCCGCTGAAGTCAGAGAAGCGGCGAGTGACCGCATAGTCACCACAGGCTGGCGAGTGGGAAAAGTGGAGATGATACTGAAGGACGCGAGGCCTCCAAGCTCTGACAGGAGGAGATGTTACAGCGTGGTGAGCAACCTGCTTGCTGAGCAATGTAACCTCCAATCTGCAGGGAGGGTGGACTGCTAAGGTAGCCACCGTGGGAGATGCCAAATGTTTGAGGGGGTGGATGGCTTGGTTGGCTCGGACATTCCACAATGGATTCCAAAGCCTAACACCATTTTGTACTTTATTAAAATGTATCATTACCGTTCACCCACGTATGAGCCACGTTCCATTCCTGCAACACAGTATAAAGAACATGAAAAGATGAAAAGCTTCTTTTGGCCCAGTTACAGAGGCATCATGGTTCCCTTGCTCACAGGCCTGTGGTGACAGACATATGGCACGATTCATGGCAACTAGGGAGAGCAGAACAGGGGTGCTGGAGACAAGACACAGCTGCCAGGGGCCCCTCCACCATCCCACCTCCCAAAAATGGCCCATCAAACTTGGAACCCACCCATGGTTCACCCCACTGGCAGGGTCCAGCTCTTCCGGTGATCACTTCCCAAGCCTCACCCTGGGGCCTGAGCCTTCCCACATGGGCCTCTGTACATACTCGCAGGTCCAAGCCCCAACCAGCCACACACAATTACAGAAGAAAAAAATCAATTTTAAAGTAACTATTGTGAGTAGATTAGAGATGCTTCTCTCAGGTATTTTCATTTTACATTAAAAATAATGCTGTTTTCTAATACTTTATGAAGTACCACAAATGATAGGTGTCAAACAGGTTTCAATCTTTAAGTTCTGCCATTCAGTTCTTCATTAGATGAGTATGCTGACTGTCCCTGCCTTTGTCTTCTTAGGTAAGTGAATGATTGGACCCGGCACTCAATTTATGAGCTTCTCTCACTTTAACTTGAAGAAAGTGTAAATATTTACAGAAGATGAACCACATGTACCTGTTCCTGACAAACATCAGAATACAGAACTTAAGTCAAATGCCGAACAGAAGCTATTCTGTAGCACTACTGTGGCAATTTAATTTTCATGGACATGTTTTCCTAGTTTTTCCTGTAATTCCCAAATCAAAAACCACTAAAATCATCTACTAAGTATGTACTCACATATCACCAAGTCAAAGAAATCTAAGCAATCACAAAGTATTATAAAAAGAATCACATCTTTAAAAAAAAAAAAAAATCAATCCTGTTAACCTTACACCACAGAAGAAAAATGAAGGTTATGTTTAAAATGATCCTCTTCATTTTGCTTTCTGATATTCAAGAGTGCTCTGGTGAACTGTGCAATAAAATTCCAAACCCAGGCAATTAAGATACAGAGAACTAAACCACAAGTTAGTCCATAAGCGTAGAAGCCACGACTGGCTGTTTACCAATGCAGCCCTTCTAACTTGGACACAATGCTACCTGGCACAAATTTTCTTTCCTGTTTTTCTTCTTCACTGCTGGGAATGGAACCCAAGGCCTGCTACATGCTAGGCATGTGCTTTATTTCTGAGCCACTCCCCAAGCCCCAGTGGAACCTACCTTTCTTGAAGACAGTTTAGAATTAAGTGCAAAGCCTTAAAATGTACACACCCTTCAACCGACGAGTCCACTCTAGGGATTTCCCCTAGGCGAACGATCACTATGTGAGCAAATTCTTGGGACTCCAGAATGTCCAACACTGTCAGATTTTCAAAGTATGATCTGACCACCGCATAGCCTGGTGGGTGGCCACCAATACACCCTTCAGAACGAGGACATAAGCACTGCTATACACAGCCTACGTCCTTCCTGTGGGCATTACCCCAATTCCCAGGGAACTTCTTCAGCACTCAGAACCAATCTATAATAAAACATTTGTTCTCATGTCTCATCTCACCTGGGCAGGGAAAGTGAGTATAGGAAGCTCGGGTCACTCGCTGCCCGATTCCCAGGCCTGACAGTGTGGTTAAGACAACGTGGAAAGCACCAGTTTTCAACTCTCCAGACCCTTTTCGTCCCCTCGGACAGTCTACAAAGCTTACTCACGGATGCGGGTGTTATATAGGCAAAGGGGCTTCAATAATCTTTCCAATTTAAAATTGTTAAAGTATTACTTTTTCCAATGTATTACTATCCTCCCATTTCTTCATTCTTATACACTCAATGTTAGCTGAACTGTTATAGACTATGGAAAGATAAATATGAAATCCTACATAAAACAGTATATATAAAACAAATTTATATGAAATACAGTCTCCTGGTGAAGTTTTCTAAGACTCCTGTGCCCAGTGGTACCTGAACATCACTGAGGAAGGTGGCTCGGAGCAGCAGCCACGTGTGCCCAGCTGGTGGGCAGGGTCGCTGAGCTCGCAGGCAGCCCTTAAGAGCGGCATGGCCTGCAGGTGCGCAGCAAGGCCGGGTGGGAGCAGGAGCAGCAGCGCTGGGCCTCGGGGCTAAAGCAGGGCCTCAGGGCTGCAGCTGTGGCCTGCACCGGGGCAAGCCTAAGCTCCTATCTGGAAATCCAACAGTGCAAACAAAATGAAAATAAACTGGTAAGACACATGGAAAACTGCATCAACAAGCAATCACGATTGTATTTTATTACTGGCTAGAAAGACATGACAGCCAAAAATAGCAATGACATTAAAGTCTGTTTTTCAATATACAAATCTATGTCTTCAAGGAACTGCCCTGCTGTGACCTCCTCTTCTGCAAATGTCCTGTCTTAGTTGTTGTATTCTTGAAGAGCCTGAGCCATGAAGAGCTTGCCTAAGTTTTGGGCGGTGAACTCTTTGATGTTCTGGCAGTACGTGTTAATCTGACCTGTGGGTTTGAATAAAAAGAACCATGATGTTCCACAAATGGTAAAATGTCTCACCATTCTAATCAAACAAAAAGATCAAAATACAGAAATCACTAGTATTTTCTTTTAAATCAGTATTTTCCAAGAATTGTTCTACTTTTCCATGAGGCACAATAAAGACTATAATTTTTTTTGAAAAGAAGCTATCTTCTATTCTGAATGATACGGAAAATGAAACAAACAAAAAAACCCTACAACTTTTCAAGGTCATCAGCCATACGCAGGATACAGCAGCTCCTAACTGGCTATGCAGACCAGAACAGTGGCGTATGTGGACCACCAAGAGACAGCACTGGCGGCCCTCACAGGCAGAGCGCAGGCGGCAGCACATCACAGGACCGCAGAGCAGATGACCCACTTGGCCCCAACATGAGCAGGTACAGCTGGTTTCATCCTGAGCTGCTGCCTGCCAAGCCACAAGCAGGAGCAGAGTCCTCTCGACAAGGGCTCTGCTCTCATCTGCAGGCCCTACTGGAAGCCCCCACTTTATCACGACAGCCACACATCCCCTGACAGCAGGAGCACTGCACTTCTGTTTGAACTGCAGCTTACGGAGAGAACTATGTTTCCCAAACCTAACTTCAATGTGTACTAAAAACTTGTAAGGAACTTACATTTTTCACCCACTCAAAAAATACAGCAATAGAATGGAGAAATTGTGAAAGATCAACTTTTGAGTGAGAGTTTTCACTCTGATACGTTTATCAGAGAGCTACCTGATAGACTCAAACAACACTTAATAACATTTCTAAAGAACAAGCCAACTCCAAGCACAGATATGATACACTAAAGCCAACTCCTGCAGTAGGCCTGGTGATGACCAATGCTAAAAATGTCACCAAACAAAGTTCATCCAGAACTAAATTAATGTCCTAATTTAAGTCAAAGAACTGATCTTTTTTCCAAGTCAGAAGCTCCAGTACTCAGGGCACAGAGCTAGAGGACAAGAACAGGGGCTTGAAATTACATGATCTTTTGCATTATGACACTGTATACAACTTTTCTCCTTCTCTATAAAGATGATTCAATAAAACCTTCCTAGGTTAGAAAGCTAACAATGCCGTGTCAAAAGACGGACTCCATGAAACACTGAAAGAACTGAGGCTTAACAGTCAAATTTCAGAACCTAGGGCCACTAAAGTCAAATTTATCTTTCAAGCACTTTGTGCATCTTCACTTCCATATACTACTTTTCTGCCTTTTGCCTGCTGAAGAGCAGAGAGCACCAGCTGTGCCGCCCTGCCCCACCTGCGATGAGCAGTGAGTCCATCCTGGCCGGGGCCTGGTGGGGCTTGAAGAGCTTAGACAGGTCCTCCTCAGGCAGCGGGGGTTCTCCTCGGCTCTGGCGCTGCAGGTTTTCCTGCTGGCGACGCTGCTGATACTGAAATGCAAAGTGACAATGAGTTGGTGTTTCTTTTTTCTGTTCATGGAGCAAACAAAAAATCTCCTACACAACCAGCAAAATTTGCTGCTCTGAATTCCAATCTTAGTTTTATAAGTGGTACTATCTGGTAACGTTTTTCTAAAAAGCTGAATGCCAGAAAATTCCTTCTCTATGAACTCTAGTGTCATCCTGCTTCCTAAGAGTCTATAACTAACCACTCAGAAAACAAAACTGACCCTGGAAGGAAGAGGCGGCTTTCAAAGGCTCTGACTGGTGTGCGAAAGGAGGAACTTGAGCACCCGGACAACAGAGTGAACTGGTCACCCAACCTCCGCGGCTGCGCAATGAGCCACCCACCCGGCAATTCTTCAGCCTCATCTCTACTGATCTAAAACAGTGCAGCAGCAGTAGCTACTTCCCCTGGATGCACGCTCATTACCAATCTTAACAGCCAACTGTGCCTAGCTCTGTAGCCAAGGGTGAAAACTAGCTCAGACATCACCTCACACTCTATCAAATTGCTCTGAAAAGAAGGCAGGAACATATAAAGACATGGGTTAACTACAAAACCATTTGTGTTAGTTACAACTGAGAGGAAAATAGCTGGAGATGGCTCAGCGGCAGAGTAGTGACACCTTGGACAAACAATCCTACAAGGGTGAATGATGAGAAACCAAACAAGATGGTAAAACTTATGTCACTGGATTCCCATGAAAATTGAGGGCAGTGACAGTTTTCCCTAACAAGGGAGAGTAACATGCTCTGCGAAGATTTCTTTACTCCCACAGGGTATGACAGTAAAAGAAAGTCTAGAAAACATACATGATGCTCTAAGTATGAATAAATGTCAAATGCAAAACTGTAATACATTAAGACTAAGCAGTGGCCGGGTGAGATGGCACATGTGTATAATTCCAGCACTCTGTAGGCTGATACAGGAGGATCACTGCAAGTTCAAGGCCAGCCTGAACTGCATAGTGAAACTCATCTCAAAAACAGCGAAGATAGACAGACAGACAGACCGGGGGGGCGCAGATGGGCAGGCAAACTAAAGAGTATCCATAGAAAAATGGTTTCCAAAAATCAATTGGCTTCTAGGTGACAGATAACTCAAGTTGATATGCCAAGTGACTACCTAAAGGTAAAGCCAGAGAAGTAAAACCAGTTGGGGTGCCCCCATCCCCGAGTTTATCAGAGACCTGTATGTACCACAGGTCTAGTCTGAAAAGGACCTATACAGATTTCCATGTTTTCTCAAATCAAGTGTGGCAAAAATAGAATTTAAATTTCACTATATGCATGAACTAATTCTTTAAAATACAATATTCTTGGACTCAGTCTGTTTAAAACACATTTTAATAAATAGCATTCATATGTAAATACCACTTTCTCAGAAAAATATTGTGGAATTAATTTTATGTATGAATCAAATACAAGAACCTTTTAGAGTGATACAGTCCAAAAACAGTATTCCAGAAACTGTAAAACCATGTGGCCTTCAGGCAACACTGGTAAAGAAAAGGCTAAGCGGCCCCAGCAGCATACATGTGTGCATGAGAACATGCAGGTAACGCTTGGGGCTTTGTCAGTATTATGCTATCTATTTCACAGCAGTTGGTCTATTATTTCCTATCAAAATTGCTTGCTCTTAATCACAATTGCTCAGTTTTTTTAAATGAACTGAAGATTGCTAACTATGCTACAATGAGCCACTACGAAACCAATTATGGTTAGTAAAGAAATGAGCTGTGACACTCAGGGAACTCTTTGCCTCTGATTTTCTCAATAAATGTTATCTCGTATTTGCATAACCTTAATGTTATACTCTGAGTTTAATATAACAGTTCTCTTTAGTCAGGTATTTTTAAATGCAAGGTATAAATAACGGACCTACTTTATAAAAGAATAATCTTTTAAAATATGACACAGTATCAGCTAATAGCTAACATTTTACCAAGATAATTTTTGTTCACTGTGAGGATGAGACTCCTGAAGCTCACCTAAAACAGCTGTGTGCTGAGCTCCTGCACAATACAAACCTGGTGCTTCTGCTGCTGCTGCTTGCTGGTATTCCGCATGTACGTGTTGTACATCACTATGTCCTGGCTCATCTCATCCACTCTGTCCATCAGCAGCTGCAGGTTCTTCCCCAAGTGACTGCTGAAATGCAAAGAATACAAGGGCACACCACCCGTGAGCCACTGCTCCAGCACTGCGCTACACAGCTCTGCTATACTAACTGGATCTGCCTTTTGCTAGAAGAATGAGTGCTTTATAAAGGCAAGGGCAGAGAAAAGAATCCGAGGTGGCTTGTCCTTCAACTTCATGTACCAAGCAGCTCAGTTTCTCTTACTATGCAATCACAGGTATGTTACATAGTAACTGTCAGGCACTCCTAGAGGGATATCTACAATGTATGTTGTTTAAAAACTCAAGTTTAACTTACGCTCAGTACCCATGAATGCTCCTCCTTAATGGTTCACCACCACCACCACCACCACCACCAGCAGCAGCAGCAGCAGCAGCAGCAGCAGCAGCAGCAGCAGCACCCCTGGCCCGATGCACAGGAAAGACTCACACTGCTGCACACCATTTCTGCCCATAGCATGATTAAAACAAACACCAGCAGTGTTTGTCCTGCAGACTTGGTGAAGAGGCACCTCTTGTCCTATCTTTCCTAGAATCTAAGCAGTATAGGCTTCCATACTTTTTCCCCTCTAGAAATTTCTATTGCAGTTCAGTCACTAGAATTCTTTTTATAAAGTAATGCTAATGACCGCTACAATGACTACTGTATCCAGCCATTTCTCCTACAACCTTCTCCCACCATGGTAAACTGTAAACAACACACACACCCCAGCTGGTGGGCAGACAGTGGTACCCTACTCATCACTAACTTCACACAGAATTTACTAAACACCTATCAAACAAAGTAAGCCGTGGTATCAGGAAACAGGGGCAGCGCATGGTCCCCATCTCTACTGACTTAAAACTGACAGAGATGGGAACGGGTGAGGAGAGGTGACAAGGCACTAGCACACAGATGGCCTACAACAGGCAAAGGTCGTGCAGAAGCTTTCTCCCAGGGCAAAGAAGTACAGGTGCTGAAGCCCCCCAATCCTCCCCCAGGGAGGGCAGGTGGCAGAGGGCAGACTCTAAAAAGCAAGAGGCCTGGGTGGGCTGGAGCTCAGGAAGCACAATGGGTGGGTCATGGAATCAAGGAGCAAGATCAGCTCCCTGTTGGGAGAGAGACTTTACAGCTCCTCCTCTGTGAAAAGCACCCTGGAGTCATGGGTGCCAGTGGGTTCTTTGTTGTTGTTTTATCTTGATGAAAAGAAAATTTATTTCACCTTCAATAATAATAGCTACCATGTAGAACTTTTCACATCAAAATCTAGAAGAGTTTGTGGCTTCTTCTTTTTTTTTTTTTTTTTTTGGTGACCGGCTCAGTCCACCCTGGTATGTGGTCCCAGCACACTTGCCTGTGCTTGCCTAAGCAGGCGCTTTAGACCACTGGGCTCTCTCGCTGGGCCCATGGCTTCAATTTTAAGATGATCACCCTGCTGCTTGCGGTTAGACTAAAGAGCAAAATCCAAGAGACCAGTGAAGAGTATACCCGGAGTGCCAGCAAGAATATGGAAAAAGTGAGGCTCCCATGCAGCAGCAGGGATGCAAATGATGCAGCTGCTGTGCAAACATGTGGCAGGCCCTGGAAAAGCTGCGGGTTCGCTGTGTGCCCAGCACTCTGCCAGCACACAGCAAGAAAACAGGAAGCGGGTGGGTACACAGAGCCGTGCATGTGCGCCAAGAGCTACACTTCTCTTCGTAGCCAGAAAGTGGAACCCCAACATCTGTCAGATGCTGGGTGGGTACACAGACTGTGGTACATCCACACCAGAATATTAACTGGCCATAAAAATAGCAAAGCACTCAAAAATATTATGACATTGGTAGGCACGAAAAGTGCTATTCTAAAAGAAGCTTACCTTAAAAGGTCACTGATTCTAGGCGCCTATTTTATGAATGGAACAAACAGACCAATAGAAAGAGAAACTACCTAGCTGCTGTCAGGGGGCAGGGGACAGGCAGTGAAAGCTTAATGGAAAAGGGTTACCACTTGGAGTCAGGAAAATGTTCCAAAATTAGTAATGGTTGCACCATGCTGTGAATATACGAAAAACAACTGGCATGTAGATTTTAAATGGTAAGTTGTATCTCCATTTTTAGAAATTGTACATCCCTCTGCAAATGACAAAAAACATGCGCAATATTCCAGACAGAAATAGTGCTAACTTGAATTAGGATAGGGGCAGGAAGCACAAAGAAAAATTAAGCAAAGATGAAAGATATTAAGCAAAGTCTAGCAATACTCTACACAGCTGGCAATCCTTACTTGCTAAGACATAAGAGAAAAGCATCAAGGGTGGCATCCGTCTCCTGGGCTGGCACACTAGAGGGCAAGGCATTTCAGCTACAGAAAAGGGAAAGACCAAAGAGGAGACGGCCCCAACACTGGGATGAACAGAAGCAAGTCACATGGAAGTACAGACTGCATCTGTCAACTAAAGAAAATTTAAGTTTGGGCTCTTTTGTAAATAGTGAAAAGAGCACAGAACTGGGATGTGTGTGTGGAGGGTGGGGCAGAGAAGATTCATCTCTGAATCCCAAAGTGATGGCACCTCATCTAACACGAGTGAAGGTCTTTAAAATTAAATTTTGTTTCCTATTTCTCTTATTCCACTGTAATTTTTTAAGGCACTTTTAACCTTGAAACATTTCTTCTTTAGAAACGAGATAAGTACAGAACCTGGTTTTCTCATTTCTTTCTTTTTTCTTTTTATGGGCAGAATATATTTATTGAAAAAAAGCTCCTGTCCGGAGAGAGAAGGACAGGAGGCGGGGAGAGCGGGTAGTTCCCCAGAAAGTTGTCTCTTGCAGGGACTTTTATAGAGGAAAACCATGTGGTGAGGCGGGTCTAAGGTGGTGGAGAAGACAAGGGAACTTGCTTAGTTGGGCATGAGGTGGGACAAAACTATGGTCAACCAATGAGATTACAAGCACTATTGCTCAGGTAAAATTGATTAAACCTAGTATCAAATGGGAAAGTGAGTCAGGTAGCAAGCAGGCCTGAATACAGGAGAGGGTCTCTTCCTGTTAGAGGTTGGGCTAGTGACTCATTTGAGTTCTTTCAAGTTGACTGATACTATTTAGGATATCAATCCCTAATGCCCATCCCTAGGGAATTATGCAGCTGTGCTTCCTCTTTTTGTCTTGGTCTTGAGATGTGGCCCATATGGGAGTGTCTGTCTCTTCCAAGTTGCAAAGTCAGCTTGTCTTCCATCTTGTCTCCTCGAGGGCCTGGCCCTGTCTGACTGCCTATAATATTTCTATCTAACTTGGCTGCCTACAACATTCCCCCCTCTGAAGAAGTAACCCGAACTGCCATGAGGGAACTATGAGCGATGACCGCTCTGGCTTCTTTAAGCTGAAACGGGTTGCAGTTGTTGACTGGCAGTAAGATATATTCTTCAGAGGTTCTATCTAAAGGCTATCAACAGACACCAGGCATTTTTATTACAGCTTGGAATCTCCATCCAATGATCTCGGTGGGAAACTCTAAAATGACACAGAGAGAAAAACTGGTCTCGGGTGGGTGACCTCCAAATGACATAGGACTCTGGGACCTGACCTGCACGAGTTCGTGTTCTCTAAAACTGAAGAATGAATTTTAGGGACAAACGGAGGTTATGAGCAGAATATATTTATTGAGAGAAAGAAAGCTCCTGTCCTGAGAGAGAGGGACAGGAGGGGGGCCCATGCAGGCAGTTCCCCCTGGTTTTCTCATTTCTTGATAGTTTTGTTTAAATTTACTCAACTCAAATATGTGGGCATATAGTCCAAGACAAAGAATGAAAATGACTGTCCAGATCTCCTGGTTAAGAGTCACAGTGCTTTACAAATATCTTCAGAAATAAACTGATCAAGACTACACCTCACATGTATTCTTTCAACCAGAACTACTTTTGCTTTGTAAGACACTGCTGCACTTTAGATGAACATTAAGTGGCAATGAGTACCATAACAGACACAGGGCAGAAGTGTAAACACAGGTAGGCAGAATTAGATGAAAGCTTCTAGGTTACCTGACGAGTACATGGAGCTTCTGAAAAGGAGCTAAGGGCAGCCAGGCAAGGAAGAAGGGAAGTGATACTGCAGATCCAGGGCACCAGCAGTACACTCAAGAGACTTTAGTGTAAAAAATATGAGGAATTTGAAGACCTGAAAACAATTCAGTCACCAGGCATATAAGAGACATACAAGACTGAGGAAAAAAGAGTTAAGAAATTACCTGGCAGACAATAGTCATAGCACAAAGAGTTCTGGAAGCATGGACAGTAAGTAGGGATTGCTCTCTAAGGAGAGTGGGAAACAGCCAAAGATCGTAGGCAAAGGAGTAATATGAGCATCCAATTTGCATTTAGAAAGATCACCACAATTTTGAAAGAAGAAAAGGTTGAAAGCAGGAAGTAAGGAGACTGTAGAAATAATCAGGGAGAAAAATAATGAGGCCTTTGGCTGGGGTAACAAAAGTTATGGAAATAAGCTGAAATCACCCAGGAATGTACATGGAGAAAGACAGATTTACTTAGGGATGAGCAAAAGGGTTGTGAAAAATGAGAAATGAACAAACCATGTAAGAATTGTGGTTTCGCAGACCACAAGAAAGATTCCAGGAAGAAGGGGCTGTTAGCAGTTACGAGATGCTGGTGATGCTCCATATCCAGTGATACAGCTGTAAGAAGTCTCTTGGGACCCAGGGCACTGCCAAGCATGCTAAGTGGGACATAAGGAAGTGCCACAGGGCTGGGAACTTCTATCAGTAAGTTTAACTTCAAAACTGAGAAGAAATGGAGCAGAAGGTGAAAGAAGTTAGACAATCCTAACATGAGTTCAAATGTATTCACTTTGTAAGTTTGCTTTCTCAAGATGGAGGCCAAGGCCATGTTTACCACTTCCTTTCACGTGGTTCATAGTGAAAAAGTAAACTTTTACATATGTAAGTAGGGTAGTAGTGGCAGTGGTATAAGACAAGACTTACAACTGTTAATTTGAAGTAAAAGATTTAATGGGTAAGTGTTCACTATAATATTCTTTGAATTGTCTGACGAGTGGAGTATATATAAAAAAAAAAAATTAATAGGAAGAACAAGTTAATCAAAAAGAACCAGGACAGAGAGGAAGCGAAAATCTGTGAGGAAAGAGGAACACAGCAAGTGAGTAATAATATCTCCAGAAGTAAGAATGGAGTAGGGCTAGCCTCAGGGAACAGATATTTCGTTGTCACCCATGAAAGAACTGGGGACCACAGAGCTGCATTAAGTATAGGAACGTCATTAGCTGCATGACTGTTAAATCAGCCATTTATGCCTGCACAGGAAATTTTGTAAAGGGAAAGCATACCACCAATCCTGCAACTAGGAAGTGACAGGAAGAACAGGAACAGCAGACAGAACTGAAAGGAGAGGAGCTGGCACATGCAGAGAAAAACCTAGTACATGCTGCCAATCCTTCGATTTCAGGAACTGACCAGCCAACCTCAGTAACGAAAAGTATTGCTGAAACAGAACCCCCCTTCCAACCTCAGCTTCTTAAAGTATTAATACTGAGTGCCACAGTGCTGTGAAAAGATGCTGCCACAAGCACAAATACATACGAACTTTAAAAACTGTGTAACATGTGCATTGCATAATGCTCTTCAGGAACCAGTCAATCAGAAACACAAGAAAAAAGCTGCACAATACAAGCCCTGAAGGTCACCAGCAATTCCCAATACATCACTACTTCACAGCAACATTCAGAGAAAGCCAGATCCATTATCAGAACAACTCGGGAGGAATCTTTTCAGTACCAGTGCAACCAGATACTGAAACAGGGAGTTACTGTTAGGCGTTTTAAGTAATGCAGGCTTTCCTTTTTATAGTCAAGGAAACAAAGTACTGCAAACAGATAAACAGGCGTGAACCGTGACACGGAGACACAGAGTGCAAAGTCTGCACTAGCAACACAGTCAACTAACTCATGCTTAATGTAAGATGCTCACTTGAGGCTACTTTGTGTAAAAAAGTAAACAAAAACCAAACTGCTTTTTGTGTGTGAAAAGCTGAAGGCTTGTGTTCCATAATTTTTTTAATTTATAAAGACTGTCATTGGAATAACCATTAGTAGAACTTCTATGCAGTAAAATTAATAGTACTTTAAAAATATGAAAGCAAATATAGCTTGCATAGTCATAAATACCATAAATTTAGCAGGTAAATCAAAGCAATGATACCCACATATGGGTCACAAAAGAAGATCAGCAAAATGCTGAAGGAGCTATGTACGTATGATTCCTGATAAAGTTTCATACATACAAGAAATATGTAGCAACATATTTCTTGGTATGTAGTCCTGATTACCACCATACTAGTAATGTTAGAAATTAAAAATTAAAAGATGCACGAAAGGTGTATTTCAGCTTTTTGAAACAGCACCACCAATGTGGCCCCAGGTAATAGTCTGGGAGTATTATCATCACTGTTGAGAGTAATTACTGCTGTAATTCTTTTTTTCTCCCAAAAGAAACATCAACTGAGGTAAATAATTTCACAGGGAAAGCAAAGGGTCTCTCTTCTTATTCAACCTAAAAACACAGAAGATAAAACTACACTAAGATATTTTCTAGATCTCAGTTGCTATGGCAAGCTAGAACACATCCTTGACTTCTGCACTGGACAGAGGACAGACATTGCAGATCAGCCCATATGCAGTCTAGGCTCCATAAGGGCTGTCTTTGTTCTGCATGTCAATAAAGGAAGCCTGGGAAAAGGTGAAGACATAAATTACGTAAGCAAAAGCTTTTAAGTAGTAAATTTAAAATTATTATATAACTACATACTTAATATATCAAATTATAACCTCACGTGCTGAAAAAGGTTCTTAGCTCAATGCTTTAAATACAGATGTGCAGTATTTGTGAAAACAGTGAAGAAAAATATGACCTTCTAAAACAGAAACTTAAGGACCCTTATATGAGCATGTCTGCAGTCAAACAGCACACTCTTTGGTGCCAAATGAGCCTGGGCTCTGCTGTGCCATTCAGTGCTCCACACATCATTACCTGGTCAGACCTTTGGGGTTTCTCTGATGGGCCAAATCAATGGAAGGTGACTCCCTCAGCACGCCCAGCCCAAGTCAGGGCATGGAGGAGAGTGTGGCCCTGGCCCTGGGGTTTTCTCACTCACCCCACAGGGGAGTCCAATGTCTGCGTGTGCCTCTGCTCCAAATCTGATCTATATTCAAACTTCTGCTCAAACCAGAGGCTTGAGTGAACATACCTAGTACCATGCAGCTAGCAAGCACTGACTCACTACCCACCCCCTCCATTTTCTATTAAATGGGTGCTGCTCAGCTCGTCTCACCACAAAAAAAAAAAAAAAAAAAAAAAAAAAAAAAAAAAACCATGAACAGAAAGTATGAATCTTGCTCTGTCCATGCTTCTGCTACAGGCTGATGGCTAAGCACTAGGCCGCTTGCCTACCACAGGCAATGCTGGGCTCCACTGTGGAGCTAGGGCAAAAGAGTAAGAGATACAGGTGATGATAAGCATTTAGTTCATAAAGAAAATGTTTTGGAACATCTCATTTGGCATTTTAGAACATAGCAGTCTAACTAGAAGATTAGAGCAGTCAGGGTAGAGGAAATCATGTCCCACTGTCTTACAATGGCAAAAGCCAATGTCAAAATTCTAACTTTAGCTGAACCCTCAAGTAACTGCCAAGTTTACTGAGTCAACACTGAACAACAGCAATAGCAACAGTCAAGAGAGCAGCATCTCTGTCCTCCCCAGCATTAACAAATACCCAGTCACAGCACCATAGCCTCTCAGATAGAATACAATAGATGAAGCACAAGCAAATTTAAAAACCCTCCTCCACTGGGGCTGGGGAGGTGGCTCAGTGGAATAAACACTTCCGTGGCAAGCGCAAGGGCCTGAGTTCAATCCCCAGAACAACAACAATAAAAAAAAAAAAACCCTAGTAGTAAATTGGTTTATTAAAATTGTAAGGAAATGCTACTTTTTAACACTTGTTCATCTTCTATGTACAAAAATATTCTGAAGGTACAATTTCCTTCACAATAAAAATCAGAATAAAGATACAGAATGAGGCATTTATCAAAAAGTTTATATATTAACTTCTGCTACCTAAAAGCGAG